CTGCTGACTTTAAAAATTGCAAAAAAAGTTTTTGAGGTGTGTATTGAAAAAGATAATAAGGGGCCTCAATATTTTGGTTTTGCACACAGACCTCAAGTAGCCTAGTTACAGCACTGCATTAATGTTTTATGTTATTATAAAAAATAATAAATTCTTTACTGCTCACATCGGATCAATGAGCTATTATTATTATTTACTACATAATTTACTAGGTGTATATTTAATTTGTACTTACATAAGTAATAGATCTAATATATTTTATTGAAGAAATAATATTCAAATACATGCTGCACTCGTAGCCGACTCCGTCGTTCGGTAACAAAATACAAACATGAAGTAATATTAGTAAATGATTCTACGACAATTGCCGTGTTTACAAAGCAAAAATTCAAATAGATAAATAATAGCTACCAGCTATACTGTCCTATAGAAATAGTTTATTGGAGAATGATGTGCGTCGTCAATTTCTTGCGATAAGAATGTTTTGACTTTTTTGAGAATTATTGATGTTTATCTAATATGGGTATTTTATAAAGTGTAATACTACAATACAAGGATAAGTTTAGTTACACGGGTTTTTGAACGTTCGGTCGTTGGCTAATTTTAAACTAATATTTCATATAAATATTTTGTTCACGGGAAAAAACCTTGTCTGCGTGGGCTTACATAAATATCGGGGTTTGCAAATATCTAATACATTTTTTTTTTTGGAGAGATTCTGGGGGGGGTCCAGTACCCCTGGACCACCCCCGTAAATACGCCACTGCTTATATTTATATATATTATCATAACAAAAACACTTCGTTGAACTCCGTGTAAAAAACGGCTAAGTAAAAATAAAACTAGATCTTTAAGCACATAAAGATGTGATATAAATAAATGCTAAGTAAATTGAATTAAAATACTCTTATTTTGTATCAATTATGTATATTTACTTGACGAGAAGTTATTTTGAGTAGAAATGTCCATTTTAATATTTTAAATTAGAGTGAACTTTTAATGCCTTTTGCTTATTTTTTTCACGTTATTTCGTGTGCCGTGTCATATAAAGTACCTATATAATTTCTCGCCATGTAAATATACATTATTGATACAAAATAAGAGTACTTTAATTTAATTTACTTAGCATTTATTCATGATATCACATCTTTATAGTTCTTAAAGATATTATATTTTTTTTACTTAGCCATTTTTACAAGAAGTTTACGAAGGGTTTTTATTGTGATAATATTATGCTATATTTATAAATAATTAAAATAATAATAATTAAGGAGCCTGCTATGACATTGATTTAAGGAGAATCATTTAGGCAATTTCTAATCTCGTCGTTGCCACCCGAGATCTATGTGTTAGTGGTAAATGACAATGTAGTGGAACGGAGGGCTCTCGCACGCACTAAAAAATAATATTGTGATCATGAAAAAATGTTTATTTTTCACTCAAACATACGATTCTAACATCAACAGTACGTAGTAACGATATAATAACGATTATCTCGATTTGCATTCTTAAAAAATATTCTTTTTATCCACAATATATACGAGAGCGGAGAGATCGATCGAGGCACATTTTAAAAATTGTATTTAGTTAATTAAATATTTAAGTTGGAAATTCCGAAGTTTTTTTGAATATTTTACAATTTTTATTGCAATTTAAATTAAAACAAATTATAAATGTGGCTTGTATATATTACGGACAATCCGAATACTTTTTCAGAATTAAAACCGTGATAATTGTCGGTATAGTTAGAATTAGAAACAGTAGTTTTTGACAAAAAAAAGACGTGGTAGTGAGGCCCCTTAAATAGTTAATTAATAAAATGTCTTTATTTACTTACATATTTTTAAAATAACGGAATCCAAAGTAGGTATAAGGTATAACTTAAAGTACTTATAAAATGTTTTATACAAACCTGTAATAAGGTTATATGAATTATGAGTTATGACATACGAATGTGTTGTATGCACATTTATATTTTATGTTCATTGCAATTAAACAAAAGGTGGGTAAGTGGATGTCGCTCTGCTGTACAGTAGGTTGCAAGTGGGTCACTGTATAATGGATGCTATTAAATTTTAATTCAATGATACTATATCATTGTATAAGAAAAACGATTCTGAGCGAAGACGGTATGTCAGTCTAGGTTTAAAACATATTATATACATATCTATGGTGTTAAAAAAAAAATTGATCTATAAATTATAATAAATTCCAAATTAATCAAATCACAATATCCATTAGGTACTTATAATACATTATACATCAATAACAAACCTTGATACTATCATAGATATATAATATAGTGTACTTTAGAAGTTTCAAGTACCCACGAATAGTATTATACACTCACAACAAAATAAATAAAATAGGTATGCTAGGTTTTTTAATATGTAATTTCGTCCCAAATTTGAACTTAAAATGTCTGTAAAAAATAACTGTGCTCATATATTTTTTAGATTTTTTGGGTACAGTACGAACTATTTATGAGAACCTTTGTTTTAAATTTGCAATCCTTAGCTATAAAAACTGAACATTTTATAATTTATTAATTACGATGGTTGATAATTTTCGAGATTTGATAAATTTGGTCAAAATGCGATCTTTAAAGTTTAAATGCTTATAAAAAAAAATTATGCCTATGTATTTTTAATATTTTTCAATTGCTATTGTAACAATATATCAGGAGCCTTGTCTTAATTTTTTACACTTTTTGGCCAAACAGATAAAACTTTATTGATATTTAAAGAAAAAAAACTAAAAAAATTGAAAACTGAAATGTCCGTAAGCGGCTCAAAAAAAAAGACAAAATTTTTTCAAAATTGTATTGTGTATAGGAAATGCTAATATAAACATTCAGTGAAATTTTCATGTATATACAGTAATTCGTTTTTGAATTACAACAAAATAAGGAAATCGCCACATGAGAAATCGAGTAAATATCCAATGTTGTAAAAATTTGAATTTCAAACGCTCATAAAAGTTTAATTTGATTTTCTTATAGAATTTTTTTTTTTGATAAATGTAAAAAATCTTATAAGGAATCTTGTATTACATTTTCATATCTTAGATTTAAAAGAAAAATTTTTATGAATTTCTAACTCGAAATAATTTGCAAATTTTCGTGATTTTTCCATATTTTGTCATTTTTTGAACTTTAAATGCTTAAAAAAAAAACTTTGACTAACGATTTTTAATATATTTTATCTGTCTTTGAAACAATATAGTAGGAGCCTTGTATTAAATTTTCAAGTATTTTTACTCAACAAATAAATTTTTATTGATATTCATAAAAAAAAAAACTAATAAAATTGGAAACTGAAAATGTCCCTAAACTGTTCAAAATAAATCAAAATATTTTGAAAATATTATCGTGTATAGAAAATGCAAATATAAACAACCACTGAAAATTTCATATATCTATGGTCATTTGTTTTAACGTTACACCAAAAACCAAAATCGATTTTCTCGAAAACAGATTTTGCGTAAAAATTCCCGTTTTTCCTCAATTTTTCTTTTGGTTTTCCCGGCGCTTTTGAAAACTACTGGGAAATTTAAATTTTGACCTCCCCAATGCACCAACGATATTCACTTTCCAATCGAACAAGATACTGAAGTTGAAAATCGAAGCATTATTTCGACTACTTATCGTGTACACAGACACAAAAAAAAAAAAAATAAAAAAATATAAAAACACATCATTGTAAAATCAATACATTCATTTTTTCACTCAGAATCTAAAATATATAGAGAGATTTTTATGTATCTAAATAACAGTATTACCTATTAAAATAAAAATCATTATTTATTTAATTTAATATTATTATGATTATATCTAAATGTCTACATATTTACCACTAATTATTAGTATTATAAATGAGTATAAATAATTACAAATTATTATGATAGTATTATATTATATATTATACAGTATTTAATAAAATGCATTTTCAAATTAAATTAAAATGTTCAACATTAAATTATAGGGGGGGGGGGCCTTGCCCACCCTGGCCACAGTGTATCGCCGCTCCTGCAGCATTGTTCATTCATTAGGTAGTTTATATGTTATGGTTATATTTTCTGCTACTATTGCTATCCCCACGTAAAATAATAATAATAATTCTGTTCATATGTATGAGCATATAAGGCGTATGGTATCTAAGGCGCAAGCGCATTAACTAGTTGGGTATCGAATATACACACGGATGGGTGAATAAAGAAGAAGGGTGAGTGACAGAGTGCAGTGCGTCGGTCAGAGGCAACGTCGAGTAGGGCACTATTATAGATAAGTATAATATAGAATATAGATACCTACTAGGTATGTTACGCAACCATTTTGAGACTAATAAAGTTATGTGAATATGATTTATCCCCCCTTTATTTTGTCATTTTATCATTGATAAATGAGTCGCAAAATGGTGGCATAGCATATGCATTATAATAATAAATGTAGATCCTTACGTCGTGGAGACCGACGGCGATCGGCTCGTGTAAACAATTATGACAGTTGTCCCTTCGCACAGCTGGCGCGCTGATACCGCGGTTACTGCAACGAGAATGAAGTGAAACCATGAAACCATGGGAATGACTAAATAAAAAGGTATGAACCTAACCTAACCTGTTTTCGTCTGGTTTGCGCATCTCTCCACTATAATAATTCTACACACAAAACCATTGCTCGTAGTTATCCTAATTTTCATTGGTCTACGCAATTGACGTGGAAAGGGTGGTATGCGTATCACAAAGTTGTGATTATAAATATTTATTTAGCCATGTTCGTGGTCATGGGTCAAGATATATTTATCTAACCTAAATAAATGAAAATATGAAATTTTGGCGTCCTAATGATAATGGGAATTTATAACTATATACTGTATAACGTACAAAATATAGTCAGTCGTGAAAAACATGAAAACAAAAGAAATACCAAGTCAAACCGACCTGTTATGTGTCCATTCAGTGATAATTTATGAACTATTTAAATTAAAAGTAAATCGACCGACATGGTGAATAAGTGTTGTGTAATTGGTTGCAAAACCCTGTATGTGAGGGAAGGCATTGTCAACTTTAAATTACACAGGTAATCTACTGGAAACTAACTCTGAATTACCTCCGTGAAGGATGGAGATTTATGGAGTGAATTTCAAATTGATTTGGAATATATCAAGTAGGTAGTTTTCATTCTTATATTTTTTGTTTAGGTTTCCTCTATCAAATCCAGAAACGCTACCTGTGTGGATAGCTGCCACTGGTAGGGGAAAAGATTGGACACCTTGTAAAAGCAGTAGATTGTGTGGCAATCATTTTGAAGATTCTGAATACAAACTTGGCCATGGGAAAAATGTTTTGAAGTCAACCTCGGTCCCAACGATTGAATATCATGTAGATGTTTTGGTATGCTTGAAAACGGGTTGATTCAAAATTTAAAAAAAATTCAATAAGCATGTATAATTATATTATTCTAGAGATACAACAGAAGGAAGCCACTAAATTGTAATAATATGGAGCAAACGAATAAACCTTTAAAAAGCGATCCAGTGGTAATTTATTATTAAAGGCTCTGTCAAACAGAAAGCGTTATTTTCAATAAAGTGTTGAATTTGTTACAACACTGCATTATTCAAGCACTTGAAAGCACCACTCCGACGAGCTATTTACCTCTTTAAAGCTCGTTATAACACATTCTGTTTGACAGAGCCTTAATAGTTTTAAACTTTTTTTTTTTATTTATAAACATTTTTATATACAGGATAGTAGTGATGCAAATGATGAAACTGTCCAACTTGACTATAATGATTTGAACAATTTTAAGTACAAACATCAAAATAAGGGTGAAAATTATGATCACGGAAAATCGTATAATAAAAATGAAAATGAAAAATGTACAAAAGAAAATGATCATCTTCACGTTATAAAGTTGGAGAATAGTTATAATAACGGGGATGATGCTAGTCATGACGATGCCATAAAGAACGATTATGAAGGTTTCAACGATGAACCAAAAAATTATATTTGTAACAGAGAAAACCAATGGTATTTTTTTATATTATAAATTATAATATATTAAATTGGTTCTTAGAAATAACACTGAATACAATTTATTGCATTTTAGTTACATGTTTACTAGCAGTTTCAATGAAGGCGCTGAATCTATAGTTATAACACCTCCAGAAGAACCATTAAATATGGTAAGATTTTTATAATTATATCCCATATAATTAAATAAAATATATTTTAAAATGTATAATATAATAAATAAAATATTTGATTAATATAATTTCAGGATATTGACCAAAAAGCAGCAGATTTAAAGTTTAAGAAAATTATGGATTTAAAATTAAAAAAACAACAACTGCGCACTAAAAATATTTATAGATTATACTTCAAGGCTTTGGAAAAAAAAAAGTTTCGAAAACATGAAAAGTGTAAAAATTCTTTCAACAATGATGCAGATTCATTTGCCGCATTTATAGGAGCACAAATGAAAGATTTACTTCCACATAGAAAGGTTTATTTAAGTGCACAACACAAAATTCAAAAAATTCTTATGAAAGCACAGCTTAAAATAACAAATTGAAACTAAGTTAATCAAGATAACTTAGTAACGAGTAAAGTAACTTACCCAACACTGGTATTATATTTGTATATATTATAAGTATGCCTTGTCCAACAAATGTGGGTGCCAGGGGGTGGTTAGCACCTCCAACTTAAATTAATATTGTATAAAATTAAATAATTAAAAGACGAAAGTGTCATCAGTGGGTGGCTTCTCCATTCAAGATTTTCTTCCCTTTTTACTATAGCCCATATTCTTATTGTGCCTTATTGTGTTCAGATTGTGTATTTTATTAATAAAGAAAAAAAAAGTTAATTAAGTATTTAAGTTGGAAATTCTGAATTTTTTTGAATTATTTACAATATTTATTGTAAATTAAATTACAAAAATTAAAAATGTGACTCGATCGTTCCCTTGTATATATTATATTACGGACAATCCGAACGTTTTTTCAAAATGAAAATTGTAATAATTGTCGAAACGTAATTAGAAACAGTAGTTTTTGACAAAAAAAGACGTGGTGGTGAGGCCCCTTAACTAATAGTCTGTCGACTGTCACGTATGATGAAAAATTATTTTTCACAAGTTCACAACCTTGTTTTATATTGCTTTCTGCGGAGCTCTAACCTGTGTAGCCAATTAATTATATTCTAATATTGAATTTGATTATTATAATATTTAGTATAGATGACCACACTATACAAATACATAAATATTATTTAATTATTTTGTTGGATTTTATCATTGATGAAAGTATAGATATACTCTATTCCAAATAAGTCTGGAAAAAATCCCATGTGCGGTTTGAGCATGTGCAGTCTAATTGGCTGCAGTCGGAGTGGTTGACTACTGCGGCCCAATCACAGAGGTTTTAACGTTCAGAGGCTGTGCAGTTTTTCCAGACTTATTGGGATTAGAGTATAGTAGGATAAGTACCTATGGAGTAATCAATACATTTACTTAAAAATTAAGATAATTATTGAATTACAATGTTATTTGTTAGCCTAAAAAAAGGTAGGTAGGTATAATTGTTAATTTTATAAGAAAAAAAATCAACCGAGTTTTAATTAAGTTCAGTTACTTTTATTTTCTAATGAACTTGTAACTTTTAAAAGATAAAAAAAAATAAAGGTAACTTTTAACTTAAAACTTAACTTACAATTTTCTATATTAATTTAACTTAGAGTTCAAAAAAAAATAGTTAACTTGTTCATTATCAGGATAAGAAAAATATAAAATTTTTTCTACAATTTTGAAATTGACCTGAATAAATATTATTTAAAAATATTGTTGTACAGAATTTCTGCGATAGTCAATATGTACTGGATAGATTATAATATTAATAAAAAAATATTATAAATATTAAATATACCGACGATAAAAATATAATTACGTTGAGTTTCCTGTTTAAATTGTGGTTAGAGAATAATATTATAACCAGACAGTGTAATATGTTACCACAGGATACAGACTAATATATTTATGTGTCTTAATTTTATAAACATATCTTAACAATGTGGCTCGAATCGAATTAACTTCATACATTTGGGGCTCCCTTAGATTAGTGGCCCCACCCATGGAATATCTTATTTTATACATCTTTTTTTTTTTAATTTAATTTTATTTTATTCTATTGCTATAGATGTTTTAATTTCTAATTTAAAAAATTATTCTATCTTTCTATTAAATAATATTATTGACAGACAAAAATAAATGTGTATTACATTTTACTTTCTTGACTTTAAATATTATCATTATCTAACACTGAGTAATAATAATTTATTATTTTTTTGTTTTGTATACTTAATTAATAGTATTAACTTATATTGCATTTATAGGTGTCAAATGTTAAATAACTGAGTTTACATGATGCCTTAGACTCACACAATAGAAGCTATTAATTCAGGATGATTATAAAATACATTTTTAATGGCACAAATAAGGAAAACAACTTGATGTATTAATTTGTATAAATGTATAATACTTTTTAAAGAATAGTATTTAAAAACATTAAAATGTTTGAGCATAGTTACATATTATTTTTCCAAATAGTTTTTAATTTTTATAATGCACAAGAATTATAAAAGAATTATCTGTATGTTTAATATTTTTATAATGGTACTTTTTAAATGCATAAAATATAGATGTAATCATAATTATCTTAAGTGGACATAATTTTTCCACTATTCATGAAAATGTATTATACCATATAACTATTTAATTAATTGTTCAATACTTAAATGTAATATCGGATAATGAGCTACTGATAACCCAATAAAACTGTTCATTAAATTAATAACATTAAACGTTTAACCACAAGCTTTCATTATATATAGACTGGAAACGACATGGTTGGCAAGTATTTTTGTGATTACTGACTACATTTTATCATGGTAATTTTGTGTGTGAGGGAATATTAGCAATAATTTGTTATGAGAACCTGATGGTCAATGACCATCTCTATCTCTATTAGTCTTCTAAACTCATTATTATTATTATTATTATTATTATTATTATTATTGTACTATATTATACATCTTACTAGTACATGGTTCCTATAGAATAATTATAGAATATTATGGGATACCAAGATAGTGCTCTAATTGTATAGATTCCCTCACTATAATATTTACAGTGACATTTTCACCACACTAATTACCCACCGTTTCCATTCTATATGATCTTAGTTTGTAGTATGACACATAAAAGTATATTTTAAAAATAAAATAAAATAAAATATGGATATAAAAGTTAAAAGTTAAATTATTCATTAATAAAATAATCACTTATTAAAAGTTTAGACAATTTGTAAATATAAATACATAGTTTCAACAAAAATTTCACAACAGCATATGCTAGATGGTAAAATATTTATTAACGTCTTGGTAGTCTTTTTTCTCTTCTTAGACTACATACCACTCTATTATAAATCACTACAGCATCAGTATAATTCTAGCTGTTTCTAGTCTAACCATCCAATTATGCACTCACGTAGTACCTTTTCATTATGGTGCCACTCGTGATGACTGACTCCCGGCACAGTGTACTCCACCAATCGATCCGTCATGTCTAGCTGATGTAATCCAATTGGGTCGTTATCGCTGTACACGTCATCTTGTCGTCGCTCCCGCATTGGTATCAGTCCACCAGAACTATCCAGTATGGCAAATTGACTGTAAGAAGTAAGATTAGAAAATAGACGTGAAACAATTAAACATTTTTTGTATAGTTATAATGTAAATAATAAGTACCTGGATTGCCAAGGTGAAATAACCCCATCGTCAGGCCCACCAATCAATACCAGCCGCTGCAGTCGAGTCAGGCCAAGTTTCTTGACGTTGGGGTTAATATTATCATTATCATTTTCTTCATAGTTGTTATCGTGGGCTGAGACTATAGCCATAAGTTTATCTACATCTGTTATTACACTGTGAGCATCACTGTTTTTGTCGTTATGGCTTTCAGAAATTTTGACAGTGGCAGCGGAAACTGCTGCTATTGCTACAGCAACACGTGCTTCAATAATTTGTTGAGTGTCATCATTAGTCTCTGCTGCAGTTGTAGTGCTACTAGTTACTGCAGTAGACATATTGCCCATCATCGTTTTTAAACTATTACCATTTTCAGTCTGTTGTAAATGAAGACCACTCGATTCTTGTTGTTTAACATTATCAATGACCGCAAGATACACACTGTATTTAAGGTATAGGTCCCTATGTCTGGGATCATACCAAAAGTTGGCCACAGACAGTGCCCGTTGACCCAAGCGTGTGTAGAACAACTCATATGCCGTGCGCGCTGTCAGTGCAGGAAACATTTTTGTGAAACACTCGGCTACAAAATTATAGTACAACAATTATTAATATGTTATACAAATAAACATAATATTATATGAAACACATCAGTAGGTCGACATTTTTCTTGCAATTTTAGTACAAACAAGCAAGAAAAAACTTTTCGCATGTACCATATTTATATTATAGTCATAGTACATGAATGTGTGTTCAGAACAACCAACAAGTTAAATACAAGTCTATGGTAGCAATACATATTTAATTGAACAAAAACCTACCACCATACTGGCCTCCTTGCGGCGAGCTAAGTGATACAAATGTCCTGACATTGTGCTCAGTACCATACTCTTCTATCATGCCTCTTGCTATGAGTCCGCCTTGTGAGTATCCTAGAAAATGTAAGCATAAATATATACATCTTTCAGCTACATTTGTAGTATGTTCATGTACTACCTAAACATTGGTAGGTAGGTAGGTAATAATGAATACCTATTTATATGTACATATATATCTACCTATGACATGCACACCCTCTGGATGCAACGAACATATTTTTAATAGGTCATCAGCTAACTTTCTTGTCTGTCGCCACAGTGGTTCCAAACTAGCCAAACCACAGAACCTGTCTATGACATATGTTTTGGTGCCTGGATGTAACTGTTAAGCATACATATTATATAAAATTATGTTTGTTATATTGATTGGCAGATTTTCAACAAGATTATAACAATAACATGACATTATGCAACTACAGTAATAATTAACACATTCACTGCGTCAAATAATTAGTTGGGACACATTAGATGCGTCACAAAATATATCGATGTTCGTTAGGAGCGTGCCACCAATTTGGACATTTTAATTAGTGTCGGAAAAATCAACAAAATAAGTTATTTATAAATGGATTGGACTGAAATAACTAGAAATTTCTATGCAGAGGGGTGTGTAAATAAAAAACATTACTCTAGTGCGTCTCTATTTTATAGCACATTTAATTCAACGGACCTGATGTCGGCTATATCCGACAGACGCACCGTGAAAAAACTGGTCCGTCGGATATAGCCGACAAATGCAACGAATGTGTTAATACTAACTATTTTAATAAAAATAATTTATTAACTCTTCTTGGTATAGAAATATTTTTAAAATGTAAAAATGTGAAAAAAAAAAAAACAAATACAACTATGACACTATAATTTTGAATATTTGTAAAAATTAATACCTGAAATATTATTTTGTTCTTACAAAACATAAATATAGAATTATATCTATGTTGAATACCTAACTAACTTTAATTTAATGGGGGATATCCAATTGAGTTATTGACGAATTCTGTTGGAGTAATCAGAATCATGCAATACCTCTACTCTAACTATTATCGACCTACTGTTAGATGATGACGTGCCAGCAACTCAGCAGCAAAACAAAATTAAAAACAACATATATTTAGTTTCTTCCCAAATCACTCAGTAATTAATATATTTTTGACCTGAAAAATGATACTGATTCAAAATAGTAATATCTGTATATAGTCGTTGAGTTTTTATTCATATTTTAAAAAATAATAAAAATATCCAAAAAAAGATCTTTTCTTTAAATTTCTTTAAGGAAACTTTAACTTAAAAAAAATATATATATATCAATAACCATCCAACGACAGTATACAAAAAACATGTCTAGATTATATTGTATTAAAAGTTACAGAATCCTAACTAGTGGAATAAACCAGTGGAAAGGAACTTATTACACAAAATTTCCATTTTTAAACACAATTAAACACTATTTACTGTATACAAGGCTGTATACAGTATATTATCAAATAAGGAAATTTATCAAACTACTTACTTCAGCTATACGAGCAGCCAGATGCTGCATTGTGCTGACATCACCAGTCATCAGTCCATGTACAATGACTACCGGCCTGTACGGTCGCTTTTGCCCTGACGTATTGTTACATTCATCAGACTTCTTCATTGTCATCGGTGTCGTTCCCTGTGTAACGTCACCACTAGGCCACTACTATTTCCGGAAATATATTAGCTATTGAACAAACAACACGTATTTAAAATAATTTATGGGATGACTGGCTTTCACTTATCATACTCAAGTGAAAAACACACAAAGTAGAATTAATGTAAACTGATCCTCACTACTGACTGCTGATGGGTACAATGACAAAAAAAACGTTTACTAAAAATGAACTAAAAAGTCACATAAAGCACAGGAACAATGTCAACAAATTAAAAACGTTTACAGTAGTGTAGTAGTATTAATTTACTAATAGTCAGTACTCAGTAGAATGTAGAAATTTAGAAGGTAGTTGAGTAGTTCTTTTTTGTCTATGCTACTGACTATAGTTTGGTTATCGTTATGCATTATCACTGTTAAACATTGATAACGTTTCGGAGGTGGCCCATAGATAAAAAAAATAAATAGGCGTCCGCACATAATTGCGTGATTTTGGTTGCCTTTTTAACGAAAAAAAGGCGTTCGCTCTATCCCACATTATAATATTAACAATTTAATGCCTATTATGTATAATATGTTATAGCCTATGTTAAGTCTATAGTTAAAACCCGAAATCCGTTAAAAATATTTTTAACTAGTCAAAACTAGTTTCCACTAATCCCATTATTAAATTCTGGTTTTGACTAGTTAAAACTAGAATTAACCGCAGGTTTAAATAAGTTAGTCAAAACTAGTTTAAACTGAAACTCATGCACCTATTCAAATCGGTTTGATATATGTGCAATGTGCAGGCTGCAGTCGCAAAAATTACAAATTCGGGTTCAAAGAAACCAAAATAAGTAAAATTCCATGCCTCAATAAAAAAAAAAAATGAAAACAAATGACTACCACTACCTATATATCAAATCACGAAAATCCACAGAAAATCAAAGCCGAAGAATAACAAACGACGTTTACTACTATTTGTCGAAATAAAATATTAAACTTCAATCCCAGAACAATCTGTAAAAGAGAACATTGCTCCTATAAAACTAAAGCTAATATTAATTATTTTTATAAGTGATTTTTCACAGTATAGGTACACATTTAAATTACTTATATAGGTACGCAACACAAATGTTAAACAAAAATAACTAATTAAGAAAGTATGCAGTAGGATTAAATTAGTACGTAAGCATAATTGTATAGTCAACGAAGTAAACAAGCAGAGACAATAACCTAGGAATAAAATAAGTTAGTATTAAATATAGCAAATAAGAAATTAAATGTTAAAAAAGCCTTAACAAATTAGGTAGGTAATTTTTCATTTGAAACAACGGCGGGGACTGTTGAACTCTACCTTAGACAATCATACAATTGTAAATTATAATATTTAATATATAGTATTAATGTAGAAATACAATTTAACGAATAAGTAAATAATTACTCAATCCAATATTCCAATTTCCAGTGAATCTAAAATGTGCTGAGGCGACACTATAATATTTTGCATAGAACACCTGCACAGGCACGAGACATCAGTGACAAACTTCAACAGATTTCTCTTCTTACTTACAGAAATATTTTAAAGTGTGAGATGTAATTACACAATCTATTTATCTATAATGGAAACCATTGGGGATGTTATATTGAAATGAAAAAATTTACAATAATTCCATATGACATAACATTATATTATTATTATTGTATTTATGGCTAAGAAGTACTTTTTTTAGGAGGCCACCCCCAAAATTAAATCCTGGATCTGCCACTGCGAGACACTCCTGAGTCCTGATTACGGAAGTTCTAAATTGTACCAGTCATTGAGTCGTGTTCTACAACTGTACTATTGTCTATTGTGTTAACGTTAGTTTAGTCACTAAACACTTAGTAGTTTAGTGTAGGTATTATAATTTAATTTGTTTGGTGTGTTTCCATTTATTTTTTAATATGGAAAAATATTTCTAAAAAGAAGAAATTGATGGTGTGGCAAAAGACAGACTTGCAAAAAAGAACTAAAATTGTTATTCTTTGTTTAAATATCTAATTTCATCCAAATTTGGACATTAAATATCAATTATCTATAAAAAAAACTGTGTTAATATATTTTTTAGATACAGTATGAACTATAGGTACTAATGACGAACCTTGTTTTAAATTTTCAATATTTAGCTATAAAACTTGAACAAAATATACATATTTCACTACAAAATTATTTACACATTTTCAAGATTTTGATGAATTTCGTCAAAATTTGAACTTTAAATGCTTATTAAAAATCTTGCCTATGTACCTATCTTTATTATTTTTGAACTGTTATTATAACGACTTATGAGAAACGTTGTATTTATTTTTCAAACTTTTCGACTCAGTGAAAATTTTTTTATTTGCCTACATATAATAGTTTTAATGTTAAAATCTCAATAAAGGTAAAACAAAAATGTCTATAAGTAGCTCAAAAAGAGTAAAAATATTTTTAGACGTTGAAAATTTCAAGTATTTACGGTTATTCATTTTTTAATTAACTACCTACCACAAATTAAGAAAATCGTTCTATGGGAAACCGTTAGTTTACAGGTGAATATCGAAGTATTATTTCGACTACCTACTTATCGTGTACACTGTACACGACTTGCAGAAAAAAAAAATACCCAGTAGAATTATACTAGGGATTGACTAAATATAAATAATTATATAAATAATATATATTATAATAATTATTATATTTATTTTATGAATTATATATTAGAAATAAAATTAATATCGTATATTATGTTAAAAATTGTTATTTTATAAATATGTATTTACCTAATATATATAATGCATATAAAATGTATCCCGCGATGGTATTTTCTGCATTTTTAACAGTATACTTAAAATAAACGCTATCAAGATGTAATTCCAACTGACCAATTAGAAAAATGGTTTATATTAGTTTTTAATGGTTAAAATAATTTTTATTTAATGGTTTCATATTTTAACACCACGTTAATTTCGAGAAATCGAAAAAAAAGTCTTTATTTAATGAACAATGACATATATGACTTATAAGATATAAATCTAATTACACGAAATAAATAATTTACAAAAATAAACGCAAATGCAAAACTCCAAATGTATTATGTAACTCAGTTTATTGTTCAAATATGCAATGAAAAAAATATTTTTCAAATACCTACCTAATTTTATCCAAATCTAATAACAAATGTATTTAATATTGTTTTATACCAATATACTAATTTTACTAATTAGTCATACAACTGTGGCTAAAGTTACTTTATGTATTAGTATTACATATTTTAGTAGGTACCTATTTTACATTGTACATATCACAGTATAAGCGCATAATTAATTAAAAAGAAAATTACCAAATGGCATACCAAGCCCAACATATCTAGACGTTCTGAAACCATTAATACGAGAACGAGAATCCCTCATATGAACCTCACCCACATACACTTAATAAAACATGAATTTACTAAGTTTTACATAGTTTCATGTCACGCCAACATAATTCAAAAATATATATATAGGATACTGAGTTATATGGGTAATTTTATTATACAGTGTATGAGTTTACCCTGTATTCGAGGACACATGGTACTTTTGAAATAAAATTAAACTTTTTATATAAAAAAAACTCGTTGCATAGAGCAGCCCGACAGCCGCATTACCATATTAATACTATAGTAGCTTTTGAGTAGGTATGAGTTTTTAATTAAAAGTCTCTGTTCAAAACTATATCCCAAACATTCGTAATTTGACAATAATATAAATAAAATCGGTGGGTAAGAGATAGTTATTACTTATTTTCTAAACAATGAAAACACTAATAATAATTGTATCTTTTAAATAAAATTAAAATTTAATAATTCCATAATGTATTATTTTCAATCAAAATTATTATAATAAAATAAAATAAATTTATATGAGTTTACATTTCATTATAAAAAGTGTTATTTTTGTATATACACTGTATCTAACCACATTAAGTTGTATAGAAATTATAGATATTAAATTAAAGTATTAAACACTGGAATATGACCTAAGGTCATGAATTCATGATGGAAAAATACATAGAAAGTTAAATTAAGTGGTAAATTGAATAACATCATAACATTGAAGGTCAGATAGGTCAGATGTAAATACGGTTATGTGAATCATTAAAATAGTTTATTTAATATTATATTACAAATCAAATAGCAAACAAGAATAATATGGATAGATCTAATATTTTATGTATGATGATTTGATATAAATCATTATATAACTTGTACCTAATGGTATATTTAAAAAGAAAACAGTGGTTGTGGTTCTATAAACAAAGTACCTATACAAACATTATTTGTAGCTGTCCATATTACTCTACCGATAAATATGCGAGGTTTAAAATAAATAAAAATAAAATGGACACTTGGTTTGAAGATAATTTATACTAATATTATTTCTTTTAATTTAACTCGGAATAAGATGTAAGAATATGATTTTCATTTAATGTATCATTCAATAATTGTTTTACATTATTTAGATTCATATTTGATCGATAAGAACCAACAAATGGTAAACTACCTAGATATGTACATTGTACAATATTAATTTTGTATTAAAACCTAGGTTACATAGGTACAACTTTTATAAATATATGCACATTAGAATAAAGTAAATGAATTTAATTTTGTATAATTATAATAATAAACAACTCACCAAAGAATTTCTATATATTTTATTATATATATTAACGAATTTATATAAATTGACTAAAATATTGAAATATGAGTATCTACCAACCCATAAATATTAATATTAATTAATATCTTGACAAAGTCTTTAAATAAGACATTTGGAATCCTATTTTAAACTTTAATATGCTCCTAATATTTAATAATAATACAAATTAATTTTCAAAACTTCTATGTTGAATGACAAAATGTGTGCTGAGGTGGTGGTATAAGCAACAGTATAAGCTATAGATATAAATAAAAGCACAGTAATGGCTACTTACATCATTGTATCATTCGGGCACTCGGCATAATTTAGTAATGTCATATTGTTTTGTAAGCACTTGTAAATTGTACTATATATACAAAATACACTATACACTATAGTGTAATTATTATAAAAGTATAACTATATTGCGGATATTCTAAATAAAATATATATTAATAATAATAATATAGGTATCTATACCTAGATACTTATTATAGGTCAATTTTTTTTAATACCATAGATAAGTATATATGTCTTATACCTAGAAGGACATACCGTCTCCGCTCAGAATCGTTTTTCTTATACAATGATATAATATCATTGAACTCAAATGTAATACCATCCATTATACAGTGACCCACTTGTAACCTACTGTACAGCAGAGCGACACCCACTTGCCCACCTTTTTTATATGTTATATTGAAACACAAATCTATAAATTTGAACCAATGTTAAAGGTTTATTAGGTACAAATAGAAGGAAGCTTGTTTGCTGATACAGCAAAACCTCCCCAAATGGGCACCTAACAATAATGAACTTTTTCTTGGGAACCAAATACAAACTTTCTACAATCCCTCTGAATTAAGGAAAACATTTTAGCAACCTAGAGTGTCCGGTATTTAAGGGCTACACTGTATTTATAAATATTTAATAATATGTAATATAACTAGGTATAGTTATAAAAATGAAACTTTATTTTACAAAATTAAGTATTAATTAAGTTATAGTGTTTAAAAATTTTAATGGAATACATTTTTATAATGGAAAATAAATTGAATAAAGAAACACAATCATTATTACAGAAACATACATAATAGTAGTATCAGTCGTTGTGGGTCATGATGGCTTCAGACACCCGCATCCAGTCAAGTGCTGATAGCAGCGGGTCTTCACGTGTTGGAATACGGTCCCAATTCCAGTACATCAGCTCTTGAGTTACTTCACCAGCAATCGATTCCACTGCCACTGTAGAACCATCGATCTCATTACCATTGCCGTCGTTATCCTTGCCAACGCACAGTACACCAACATAGCCATCGGGCATGCTGAGCTTGACACCCGTCAACGGCTTGCCACGCAACGACGAGTGCCACAATGCGGCTTTATCATCTGTTGCTGCTTTGATGTATGGACAAAAGTATCGGTCGACTGGAGCTGTCGACGTCTGGCAGTCGCCACCTGGTTTGCGTGTGTGGATCTTGCATGGCAACAGGTGTACTGCCTGTTGATCAACAGCATTAGCGTCGCTGTCTTCTGGACGCTTTATGACGAGACGCATTGCTTGCAGTGGTTCGGGACACAACCGAAGTAAATAGTAAATACAAATTAAGTAAACAAGTCGTCAACAACAAAGTTGGTTACAGTCGTTACAGAATCATTAATTGTATTTTGTATTTCATCGATCGGTTTTAAATGATAACGACGGCCGGATGTGATTTAGGGATACGGTGAAGTGTGGAGGTACCAAAGATCACCACCTCCACGGACGGCGCGTGTCGCTTCACTTTTGTTCCTGACGAAGACGGGGATTACGATTTACGATCCGCATCTACCGGATGCCGGTGAGCCGTGGCCTGTGAGCAGCAGTTGCCAGTCGGTACAGTCACGTACTCCGCAGTCTCGTCACTATTGTCGTTTAGTCGTGGTGGTCTCCCGGACTGGAACAGCATCGGCACCGACGTCCGCTGTCCGCAGACGAGGTCAGATAATATTATCTTAGTCCGTGGTCGCCACTCGCGAGTATCGCTATCACGTGAGTACCGATAGTGGCAAACGCCGAGATGATAACGCGGGTGCAGTGAGAGCGCGGCGACCGACTTTTAAACTTTTTGAAAGTAAAAGTTCAGTCGCCGCGGCGTTTCATAATTTTTCAACAATTATATTTGTTTTTTGGTGTTTTTCACAACTTAAAGTCGTTAAAAGAAACGTGACGGACACGTTATTATCATCATCGTTGTGCCCACAGTAGTTATTAAGGACACGTATATAGGCATGTGTTTCATACCAACGATTAATGTATGTTGGTCGTTTTTCTTTTTAGTCATCAAACGAACGGGTACTACAGACTCTGCAGTAACGACCAGTGATATCTTCAAGAAAGTGAATGCAATAGAATGGCATACTATTACTATTATCAAAGTAAGATACATCCAACTATACACACAAACTTATGTAAAATTATTGTTATCGTTGACAAACAACATTACGTATTTACGTTCGAGCTCAGAGCGTCAAAATTATTAAAATATAATCTCATATTTAATATATCTGTAGTAAGGCGTTTGGAAAATAATATTTTTTGTTTGATGAATTTATAATATAATATATTATTTCATGGACTAGAGGTTTATCCATACTATACATGAAATTTACATTAGGTATATTTCATTGCTGCGATGATAAACGAGTATTGAAAATATAGATTTTAACAAGTGTACCTTACCTGTCAAGTGCACAGTTTCACAGGCACTCAGCAATAATATAGTTAGTAATTATTTTACTAACTTACAAAAATTATACTTTTAATAATAATATTTGAATATGTTCTTAAAAGATTCTTATATCCAACATCATATTATGATAGATTGAGATAATTGAAAGATAATTTCTTATACCTATTTAAATATAGAAAAAAATAAAAATGTTACGTAGCTTTCAGAAATAATGCTTTATCCCTAAATAAAGTCAAGTATTAGGTATGCAAATATACAATTGTCAATTTCCACTTAAAATAAATAGTTTTTACATTTTAAAAGGTAGTTAATAAATATTTAAATTATTTATCTCCAAATAGTCATGGATTTCTGCATCAATCTTTTATTGTTGCAGTTGCAGCATAAATATTTGCTAACAAGCTTATATGTGTATAGTATATTATGTATATAAAAAAAAATGTTGACCATTTAAGATGGTTTATGTTGATAGCAGTGGCGGATCCAGGGGGCCTCGCCCCTCCCCCAAACTGCTTCAACAGACTATAATTATTATGGGTATCTAATTAACATAAACGATTCCTAGTCCAACCATAATAAAATTATTAACATTCCTTTAATAACCATTTCTTTCATATTTTTAGGAACGTCAACTAAAACATTAACATAATGTATATAGTATTTATGGCTTAGAAGTAATTTTTTTAGGAACCCCCCTTAAAAAAAATAAAAATAAAAAATATACACTGCATCCGCCACTGGTTGATGGTGTATTAGCGTCATTAGCAACTGTTGACCGTTATAAAATTGCTACTAAGCTAACATTCTGTTACTGATTTACAGGGTATTCACTGCTATTTTAATTGAATACAACTGTTGAACATTAAAATACATAAATGTCACTTGTGTTATAATATCTGTATTTCACTCGTTACAGCACCACCTGATCCACTATCACCTGTACCAACCACAGAAGAATTATCAACACGACAGCCACCTTTATTAATGCTATCTTCTCCACCGCAACAACAGCAATTGAATCTACCACTTCTCACACCGGTTCATCAATCGGTAACAACATCAATGCCAATGATGACGAAGACTACTACTACTACTGCTATAGAAAATAATGAACAGCAGCAGCTACCCACACCAAATACATTCATTAGGCATTGCGATGACATGGGTTTATTTCATGATTTACAAAACATTGTAGTAATGTCTTCATTAACTGGACCATCAGGTGATACAACAATTACTACAGTCCCTGTCTCTAATGCTGCTACAATAGTCACCACAGCAACATCAACAGGACAACCTATTTCTTCAAATTTATTTGACTCATCATCAACAGCAATTGTGACAACCATGATGATGGCAAATCCTTTTGACGAAACATTTAAACAAGCAGTATTGCAACAACAAAAAAATGAAACTAATCCATCAGAAAATATTTTCAATCACAACAATAACAATGATGGTGATTTAAACACCCCATTCATAGCAACAACCACTGTTGTTAATACATCCAATAACAATACTAGTAAGTGTTTTAACATAGGTATAGTTTGAACTGGAATATAAATTAATATGAATTGTTTCTTATAGTTATTGAAATAGCTATTAAAAATATCTAAAGTTTCCTTTGAAATTTATTCATTTTGTATTAAAATAAAAATTATCTATCTAGTTTAATAGCTAAGTACCTAGATACTTAGCAAGTTCTCATAGATTAATTTTAGTAGTAATTGAAAAAAAAATTCCTTTTAATGCACGTTTTTGCATTAATAGAAATCACTTCCATATTTACCTTATTTGCATCTGCTATTTATAATACTAGCTTGTTTGTATAAGTAATTGGCTTGTTTAATTTTAAAAAATATATTATTTCAGGTTTGAAAACTTCAACTTCAATGGATATGATATCTACAACTGAAGCAGTTGAATCTAATAAGATGAATTTGACAACTGTGCCTCAATCGCAACAGCAGAATATATACATAACGTCAACAGCAGAAGTAGGTTGACTTGATTTATTTTCTATGTACAAGCTTTAAATATATTGTTGGTTTTATTTTTGTTTCACTCAAGGCACCGACTAGGGGTGTATTAGTTATGATGGTAGAGCATCCACAACATCAACCGCGTAATTCATCTCTCCCTTTACCTGAACATCAACAACACCAACAAATTATCGAACAACATCAGTTCATTGTTCCAACAACTACAACCACAACTAGTGTCATCGACACAACAACAATAACACACCATGATCAAGAATTGTATGATGAAGAAGTCGATGATGAAAACGGTGGTATAATCATCAATGTTAGAAATGATACAACTACAATTAAACAGGTTGGTACTCAACAATCATTTATTTCTTCCTAACTCTTATTATTGTTGTGTTGTGTGAACAAACTTTGTGTACATAATTTTTTTGAGGAATAATAATAACATCACCTGTATACGTTTTTATGTTCACGCACAATTAAAGGCTTTAAAACAGAATCTATTGGTGAAGCAACTGCTACAGAGGCGCCAGAAGCCTCCACTCATATCTGAAAGCGATCACGAACTCGGTCAACTGATGCAGCATCAGAATAACGACAACGGCATTGATTTTGTTGTCACAGACACTGAAAGACTAGAACATGAAGACTATAATAGTAGTAATGGTCAAGAAGACGAAGACCATAACAGTCAAAAGCAACAACTGAAACAGAAACGAAAACAAGAAATGTTAGAAAGGAACAGGTACAAGTAATATTCTGCTACTGTTACATGACACCACTCACAACTATTTAAATATTTAATTTTTATGCACTTAAGATGCCGACACTGCAGGGTTATTCGGTATTTTATGTTTGCTGTATAGTACCACAGGTTATACCATTAAAATATTGTATCAGAGTGCCCCACACACTGTTACAGTACAAACTCATACGACAAGAACATAAAAACAATACACTTTGGTTTTTCACTATAACAAACTTACTGGAACGTCTGGAACTGAGCCCTTATTCAGCTTTGGAGCTATAGCTAATTTTAAGTCCATCATAAATTATTTAAGTAGTAAATATAGGTACCTTATCTAACAGTTTTAAATGGTTCACTTGTGTTGCACCCTGAGTACTTGGTAGCTGTTTTACCCTAATTCAAAATTAAGAGTTTCTAAACTTATAAGTTATAACTTGTAGTTTAAATACTATTACAAGTGTAGAATGTATAATGATTAGATCTTCAGATATACTTTAAAATTTTATTGACAATCGTATCATGTTATCATGAGTATTCATGACAATAATTATCGAATTGGCAGTTAAGATAGTATAGCAATCATAGTTTATCAATCTACTCTTTATTGACATATAACATGAGGAATATTTTTAATTTGTATTATTGTGCAAAAATAATATTAAATATACACTGGATATTCTACTCCTAGCATTTGTGTTAAACCTTCTTTTATATAATTTAAGCTTATTGTACAAAATATGCTTAGATTGTTTAATTTCAAATACATTTTTAAAATAGTATTATTTTTAGAATTAAGTATACAATAAAATATAGAATTCTAATAAACCCATTTTAATTACCCGATTTAACAACAAAAAACTATTAAAATAATATTAAAGAACCCATATCAAATAATATTCGTAATTTATGAAAACTTACTCACTGCATGTATATAGTGTTGAAAATAATATCATGCATTTTGTTAAATATCGGATCTATAATTATGATTAAATACTATTAGAATATACTTAATAACTACATTAATTGTTATTATTGAAATATTCAATAATGTTAAATAACTATTATTTGTGTTATTTGTTATATAAATATAATAATTAATAACAATCAATAATTTGATATAGGACAGCTGCCAAACGCTGTAGAATAAAGCGAAAGCAGAGGTGGGATCTGCTTTCAGAAGAGAATCGAAAGCTGAAAATCGAAAATGGCCGATTGCGTGATGCGCTTTCAAAACTTGTGAGCCATAGATGTAGTAACTTACAGCAACATCAAATAGAACAGCCAGAGATAATACAAGAAATATTTAATCATAGTGATGATGTTTAAAACCATGATAGGTTGTTGCACTTATATTGGAGCTTAAACAAGTAATATTTACTTAATATAATATTATTACTAGGGCTCCGAAGTTGTAAAAGTTGCATAATATTTTTCTTTACTCTTAATTTATAAAAGATCAAGCTAGTAACCCATTTTATGCAATGGTGAGATTATTAACAATAATTTTGAATGTATCTTATTTAATATCTATTCAATTTTCTTTTATCAATTTATGTATTTATAGTTAATTATTTAACGTAGGTATTTTAATTTTCTAAAGATTTGTACAAAGTAGTAAAAAACAATTTGTTCCAGTATAACATAACTGTTAATGCCATGTTTTTGTTATACACTTATATGATTTAATAACATATTATTTTTTAACAACCAGCTTTTGATTACATTTAATTGATATTTTAGTTATTTTTAGTAAAAAAATAAATAATATGTAATAAACTACTCTGGTAGTATACTATACTACCTATTATGTAACTAATAATGAATAAGTTATAATATATTTTTCACCTTTGATTCTTATTGGCATGCATATTTTACTTCTACAACTTCTGAGCCCTAACCATTACTATTATAGAAGCTGATGGTTTACACTTGTATGATTTAACATATATATATTAATATATTTTATAATTTTGTACGAAATTGTTATACATTTCAGTGCTGCATGCTGTCAAGTACTCATGGTAATCAGTTTACATAACTATAACTATAACTATAACTATAATAATATAATGTTTTGTTATTGTGTCCAAATAATATTTTATTTCTAAAATCTGTTTTTTTTTTTCATTGTTTTTTTTATATAATTATATCCATAAATAAAGTAGTTAAGAGGACACTACAACCACATGTGTTGTCTCCGTCTCATTAATATACAACATGGTAAAAACTTGTTTTCAGCTAAATAACTATGCTCCATTTGTTTGTATAGTGGATTTACAAAAAATTCTACTACGCATATGGAAGAACTTTATCTGTGTTGTAGCTATTTTATTTTTATGATAACATTAATACAATTAACGTTTTTAGTTTGAGAACATTAGGGTTATCTGTTTTTTTATTTAATTATTAAAAATTATTGGTTAGTGCTATTAAAAAAAAAAAAAAACATTACGATACAGATAAAGTTCTTTCCTATGCATTATGGAATTTTAGGTAGTACTACTGTAAAATACAGAGGTAGTATAGTTGCCCTGACAAATAAAAAGTTTTTGCCTTATTCTACATTTGTAAGACGGAGAAAGCACTTGCAGGTTTAATGTCCTCTTAAGCCAATTGTTTTTTTTTTAAATATTGGTCATCAAGAATGTGGGTTGTTCATAGTTTAAGCACGTTTATCATAGGTATCGTTATGCTCATTTGTTTTTTTTTTCAACTGTATGAGGATAATGTTATATGTTAATTTATAATAGCAGTTCTATTGTAATTAAGTTTGTTTTAGTCATCATTTCTGACAACACTAATAATACCTTCAATTTTTTTATTTTTCGTTAATTTGTCATTATTCAACAACTACTAAATAATAAACCTATCAATATAAACAATATTCTTTAAATAAAATGTTAATATAAAAATTAAAATTAAATTTAAAAATCATTTAAAATTCAATTAAAAAAAAAGTATGTTTAATTTAATTTAATTATTGTTTATAATGATAGATATTATTTAATAGCATAATATTATAATATAATATTAATATCAATAAGAATATAGCAAATATTATTGAAGAACAATCAGTTAAATATGCAAGTAAATATAAGAAAATAAGAATTTCATATGAACAAAGAAATTACTAAAGATGAAAACTATGTATTTATTTTTGAATTAATAAATAGGTATTTTTCATTTATATTTTATTTTATATGATTGCTTATTATTATTAGTCCTTAATTTAAATTAAATTGAAAATGTATGTAATATTGTTTAGTATTGCTTAAATTGACATAATTGAATTATACAACATGTCAACTAAAAATTGTGATTAATTAACATTTATTTTATAAGCTGTTTATGGTAGAACTATAGTTTTTGTTATCCACATATTATTATGATTTATGTTTATTATTATAACTATTACTTCTATAGTCTTATTATATATATCAAATGTATAGCCTTATGTACATGGACTGTATACTTGTATTATATTAATCAAAATTTTTTTATTTACAATTTAAGTCTTATTTTGGTGTACCTTTATTACTTGATTTATATTTTACTAAACAAAAGTTGTTTTTTAAATTAAATATTTTATTTTCGTTAAGTTTGTATGTTAGTTATTATTTCAGTCAAAATATATACATTTAAAAATAAATTGTGTTCAGCATTCAAATAACTTATTCGATTAGTTGTTTATGATTGAGTTGCTAGATAATACTTAATATAATTTCCATGCAATTTCAAATTCATGAACTGGACTGTTTTAGTTGCATGGACTATTTTCAACTAATAATGTTTTATGGAATATAATATAAGGTATTAGATAATGCATGTGGTAACAACTAAATAATAAACCGAGTGTACTAGGTAAATAAGTGTTAGCATTACTACAAATCTATGCTTGTATAAATGTATTGGATACCATAGTATAACGGTGTTATAAGTATTATTTGTTCGATAAATATACATCATTTTGTATAAATAGGTTAATTTTAGATTCTGAGCTGAACGATGAATGTATTGATTTTACAATGATGTGTTTTTTTTTTGTCTGTACACGATAAGTAGTAGAAATAAGGCTTCAATTTTAAATTTCAGTATCTTGTTCGATGAGAAAGTGAATATTGTTGCTGCATTGGGGAGGTCAAAATTTAAAATTCCCAGTAATTTTCAAAAGGGCCTTGAAAAAAAAAAGAAAAATTAAGGAAAACAGGAATTTTTACACAAATTCGATTTTAGTTTTTGGTGTAACTTTAAAACAAATGAACGTAATATACATGAAATTTTCAATGGTTGAATATATTTCCATTTTCTATACATGATACAATTTTCAAAATATTTTGATTTGTTTTGAACTGTTCAGGGACATTTTCAGTTTCTAATTTTATTAGTGTTTTTTTCTATGAATGTCAATAAAACTTTCTTTGTTGATTAAAAATACTTGAAAATTGAATACAAGGCTCCTACTATATTGTTACAATGACATTTGAAAAATATTAAAAATCCTTAGTCACAGTTTTTTGTAATAAGCATTTCAAGTTCAAAAATTACCAAATTATTTGATTTAAGAATTCATAAAAATTTTTCTTTTTAAATCTAAGTTGATAAATGTAAATGTAATACAAGATTCCTTGTAAGATTATCTACATTAATCAAAAAAAAAAAAAAAAATGTTTATAAGAAAGTCAAATTAAATTTTTATGAGTTTCAAATTTAAATTTTAACAATATTTGATACCTATTACCTATATACTCGATTTCTCATGTAGCGATTTTTTTATTTTGTTGTAATTCAAAAATGAATAACTGTAGGTACATGAAAATTTCACTGAATGTTTATTTTATCAATTCTTATACTTGATAAAATGTTCAAAATATTTTAACTTGATTTGAGCTGTTTACGGACAATTTCATATTTCAATTTTTTTTTTTTCTATGAATATCAATAAAGTATCTGTTAGGCTAAAAAGTGTAAACATTTAATACAAGGCTCCTAATATATTTTTACAACATCAGTTGAAAAATTATTAAAAAATACACAGGCTCATTTTTTTTTATAAGCATTTAATGATTGTATTTTGACAAAATGTATCAAATTTAAAATTGAATAATTATTTTGTAGTTATAAATAAAAGTTCCTAATGGATATTGTGATATGATTAATTTGGAATTTATAATAGGTCAATTTTTTAGATTTTATATAATATTATGTATTATACCTAGACTAACATACATTTTCTGCTCAGAATCGTTTTTTTTATACAATGATATTATATCATTGAATTCAAATTTAATACCAGCCATTAGGTATGCAGTGACCCACTTGTAACCTACTGTATAGCAGAGCGGCACCCACTTTCCCACCTTTTTAATTTTAAATTGTTTAAATTTTCAGGTTAATTAATTTAATTAGTTCATGTTAAATATTTGTATGTGATTTAAATATATTTTATCAGAATTCAATAAATCCTTGATTATTGGATAACATTATCATCATAATTTACAAGTTTTATTAGGAAATACGAATGTATTTATATTTGCAAGTAGGTCAGTAAAAATGCAGTATCATGCATCCATCTCGTCGGATGAAACAATATTATAATCTACACAATGGCGTCAGTTATTGAACAATTTTTTACTCGGCAGTCGTCGCGTCGTCTTGTATTATTACACCGTCATAGTCCGTACGAGTGTAATATATATATTTTAGTCGAATTACATACTGTATTCGCTTACTCTGATGTCTCTAATATTTATTATTATTACAATGTTGAATTGAATTAATTGAACTTACTGTAACATTGTTTAAATACACACAAACATATATATATTAACACACTTGTAATACCTACTATCATTCAGTTAGGAATTACTGATTTTAAAATTTCTGCTTATACTGACAATTGCTGAAGTTAATATTTTTCTTCTAAAAGTATACAGAGATGAGGGAATTTTGCTGCTTACTGCTTAATCGAATGTACAAAGAGGGCATTCAAACTCCGTGTGTACTTGATATGAAAAAATATTAGTGCATTAGAAAGATAGTAGACACAACAGTAGTTTTTGTTCCCATTACTCATTAGTAAAAACGTATTATTTTAAAGGTAAAAACTAAAATGAAAAAAGTTGTACTCGTGAGACATGTTCAACTAGGTACTTCTTTCCATCACCGGGTCATTGATTATCGAACAGGACAACATGTATGTACAAACTACAAGACATTAAAACAGTACAAATACACAATGGTTGTTCATTATCCCATGATAAAGTAACATCATTTCTGTAGCCTAGACCTCTAAACCATTGACGCAATTCAGTATTCTTGTCCATAGTATAAGGAATAATTTAATTTAATATTTTTTATACAATGTTCTTGTCTTAGACCTTTCATCGTCTGTATTTTTGCAGCAGTCGATGTCGATAAGAATGCTAGATACGGCGATCGGGCGTTGATAGATTTTGTAAATTGCAAAATCACGGAAAAAGCATGATGATATAACAAGCTAGTTGTCAATATAAGTATAATTATAAATAATATTATATTATATTATCAACTATCATAGGCCATTACAAAAATATGTCATATGAAAAACAATATTACTGTTATTATTACTGTAGATTGAGGAGTTTGAAACTGTGAAACAAATTGACAGTTAAATATCAGTCGTGTGGTTTAGGTCAGTATTCCACTGATGAGGATTATAATTTATAGCTGATAAGCGTAATCAAGTTACTCGCTGGACGCCGAATTCGAAGCCAATAAACAAACGTCGTGTCTTCGTGACGCCGATTTTCACCGCCATTTTGGTAAACAACAAACAACAACAACGACAGCCGTATAGGTTAGGAATGTATGTTTTATAACTGCTCCAAGCGGCTAACATGAGGTTCTTTGTAGATGTGAATTTCACGAACGTCGTTCGACTGGCGTCTTCCCTTGTCATTCGCCCAATCACCCGCCGTTTGTAGCTGACGTCTGTTCGCATTATTTCTGCCGCTCGCAATTTTCGTCCGTATTGTCTTTAATCTTCATTAGTGCTGCCGCTCGCTATATTCGCCAATCGCCCGTCTGCTCGAACAGAACTGAATCCTCTGTTAATTATTTGATTTAACGATTTGAGTTTCATGACAGTCGAATAGACTGAATAAGTCTAACTACATTGTGCATAGCTAGTCGCCGCCATTTTGGTTATCGTCTTTATTAGTGCCGTCGTCTCCCGTCTGCTCGAACCGAACAGAATAAGTAACTATATTGTGCGCGGCTAGTCACCGCCGTTCTTATTTTCGACTTTATTAGTGCCGTCGTCGCCCGTCTGCTTGAACCGAACTGAATATTGTGTTAATTATTAAATAACGATTTGAGTTTCATTACAGAATATTGACTATTCAGTTTCAGTCTAACCACGTTGTGCGCTCCTAGTCACCGCCATTTTTCTTTTCGCCTTTATAAGTACCGTCGTCGCCCGTCTGCTCGAACCGAACAGAATAAGTCTAACTATATTGTGAGCGGCTAGTCACCGCCGTTTTTGTTTTCGACTTTATTAGTGCCGTCGTCGCCCGTCTGCTTGAACCGAACTGAATATTGTGTTAATTATTAAATAACGATTTGAGTTTCATTACAGAATATTGACTATTCAGTGTAACTACGTTGTGCGCGCCTAGTCACCGCCATTTTTGTTTTCGCCTTTATAAGTACCGTCATCGCCCGTCTGCTTGAACCGAACTGAATATTGTGTTAATTATTAAATAACGATTTGAGTTTCATTACAGAATACCGACTATTCAGTGTCACTACGTTGTGCGCGCCTAGTCACCGCCGTTTTTGTTTTCGACTTTATTAGTGCCGTCGTCGCCCGTCTTGCTTGAACCGAACTGAATATTGTGTTAATTATTAAATAACGATTTGAGTTTCATTACAGAATATTGACTATTCAGTGTAACTACGTTGTGCGCGCCTAGTCACCGCCGTTTTTGTTTTCGACTTTATTAGTGCCGTCGTCGCCCGTCTGCTTGAACCAAACTGAATATCATGTTAATTATTAAATAACGATTTGAGTTTCATTACAGAATATTGACTATTAAGTCCAACTACGTTGTGCGCTCCTAGTCACTGCCGTATTTGTTTTCGACTGCCGTTTGGATCTTCGATTCCACCATGAGTGAATCATTTCTATTAATTGAAAATTTTGATGTGTGTAGAATATGTTTGACCGAGCGTCATACAGATGGTTATGAACCGTTTGTACACGTCATGACGCTCATTGACGGGAAAGAGTCAAAAGAGCTAATTTCAGATTGGTTTAAATTCAATGTACGTATTTAGTTATGCCAATCTAATTAGTAAAAACATTGAAATGAAATTAATTTTTTGAATTTTTCTTAGATCAAGTCCGATGATGGTTTGCCCAATATGATTTGCAAATGCTGCTTTGTAGCACTAGACAACTTTCATACGCTGAAGAAGACTGCAAATGAATCTAATATTGTACTGGATTATATTGCTAAGAAAAGAGTAAGCGAGATATGTAATACTAAATTTAAGATTTTTTATTTGAAATTTATAAACTTAAGTTATATACCTACTTAATTAACATTTAAGATTTATATTTATTTGTAAAATGCTTCAACAGAATACGGTATGTTTTTATAAATGTATGTTGGTATATGCCTATGTATGTTGGTAAGCATTGTCTGAGTTATTATAAAAGCTCATATATAGGCATATATTTGTTATTTAAGAGGACGCTACACAGATATTTGCTGTATCCGTCTGTTGTGCATAACACAACTCTTATTCCCACAAGTCCCATACGTTTTATTCCCATGTGTGTTGTTTCTGTATGACAATTGTGTAACATAGCACATTTTTACGCTCAGAGGTTTTCGTTTATGTTTGTTCAATAATAGTTTTCATGTCAGAATGTACCTAAAAGCATTTTTTCGATTTTTAATTTTGGAATTGTATTTTTGTTAAATCATGTCATCTTTAATATAGTTCGTAGTTAACGCACAAGAGGTTGCATGGCGCTCCTTACCGCTACTTGGCAGCCAATTGTAACATATCTCCTCCAATCCCATTGCCATTGAATATTGTAATACAGTTGAATATCATATCACAGGCGTTTACTTTTATATTTTTCTCAATATTTTCTATGCGCTATGTATAGGTAGTTGCGTATTAGTCGTCCAAAAGTTTCTCATATGATCGCTCACCCTCATAGACCTTATATATATATATAAACAACTAACAAGTAAAGAAAAGCTTTTTACATATTAACCCTTTGACGAGGGAATATTATTTTGTAAGATTATTCAGAGACTGAATTGTTTTTACACAAATATTGGTATTTTGGTTAAAATAAAGATATCATTTGACGTCTTAGATTTTTGGACTCAATTTTTTTATTTTATTATATTTTCGATTTACCATTAGGAAGCAGCACATACTTCATTATCTTGTACATATTGATAATACCAGTTTCTTAAAACTCCGTTAAAGACAGAGGAAACAACAGAAATCTTTACTCGTCAAAGGGTTAACTTCTATAGGTTTATATTGTATAATAATATTAACTATCTAACTAGGTATCTTATAAAACCACTTTTCACTGAAATAAAATATTTCTATAAGTATTGTATAACTCAATTTAATAGAAAATCTTACACATTAAATTTCAGTGGCACTGAAGTTTTTTAAATGTGGCTGGGCAATTTCAAATATTTGTGGCCACAATATCTAAAGCCGCATACACACTTGTAACATTTTCTGTTACGCCGTAACACCGTTCCACCAATTGTCGGTAAATTTGGCCGCATCAAAGGATGTTACCCGCAAATGTTACAAGTGTGTACGTGGCTTAAGAGAATGCCACACCTGCATGTGTTGTCTCCGTTTTACAAGTGCGTAACATAGCAAATTTTACGCTCAGCAGAACACGTGTAACTCCGTAATTTGTTAAAACTTAAAAATTTAAAAAAAAAAAACCAATGAGGTTCATTAGATAATATTCTTACTTGCGCATTTGATAATAGATCAATTTACAGTAATTTTTAAACTAATGGAGCTACACGTGTTCTGCTAAGCATAACATTTTTCTATTTTATGCACTTGTAAGACGGAGACAACACATGCAGATGTGGCGTCCTCTTAATTATAGAGCTACCCTAATATAAATTTACTGAGCATTTACTCATAATCATGGCTTAAATATATTCATGCTCAATAAAGTTATAATGTAAATAAAATGTGTAAATAAACATTTTTTTTAATATATCGGCCCATGAGCCTATGTTAACATGGACTTTAGCGTCAATGTCAATTTTTATAAACAGTTATTTTTCATCAAAATTATATTTTTAATCTTAAACAATTCTTAGGAGTGCTAAAGTTAATGAATAAGTATATTTTCATTAAAATTACATTGATTAGGCACTGATTATTCATTTACCAGGACATATACAAAAACTACAATAATTAACAAATATTTTTCTTAGTTACCTGATTTATTCATTATTACAGGTTATGTACAGATATTTTTCTTGGCTTCTTGCTTTTCAAAATCATATCAGAATCTTTAATAATAATCTTTTTTTCAAATTAAGGATTACCTACCTAGTTAATTCTGGAAATAAAATCTGGAACATGAGTATAATATTATTATTACTTCATAAATAATAATTAATAGTTTAATCATGTAGGTACTGACATATTTAATTTTTATGTATATTATAACATCAATTTTCCCTAAACATGAAAAAGTGACTGTGTTCTTTTTGTTACATGCAACTATGTTTGTATTTGAAAATAGAAGTCATGGTTTTAATTTATTTTTATCGATTATAATTTTCTTTAATTTTTATGAGTATTTAAGATATACAAACAATTCACAATTTTAAAATACTCATAACTATACTCTGTTCAGATTAAGATTGAACCGCTCGCTCTACTAAAACATGTTTTTTTCGCGCATACTGGACACCGGTGGGAACGTATGCACGGCCCTCAGCACCGGCGCCAGCGATGACTATCGACCAATTACAAAAAGCATAGCCATCGCATGGTGGGTCAGGCACTGTTCGGCGGCTCAGTCTGCATGCGCAAAGCCAGGTTCAATCTTAAACTAAACTGAGTATAGCTTTAAAATTAAAATTTAATGAGAAGCCCATGAGATTGTCTAGATAATAACCTTACCTTTAAATTTTATAAGAGGCCAATTCACTCTAATTTTTAAACTAACGGAGCTACACGTGTTCTGCTGAGTGTACAATTTGCTATGTTACGAGACAATATGTGTGGGTGAGGCGTCCTCTTAACTACCTGGGATAATTGCCATATACAGAACATCACTGTCCACACATAGATTAATAGCGGTATGAGCAATCCGAAAATTGAATTGAATTAAATTTTGCTTCAGCCACTGGTTCCATAAAGTGTCCATATTCTGCAACTTTTAGTTTATGATTGCTAGGTATGTCCATATTAAAATCTATGCACTATCTTTTTACAAAATGTCGCAAAATGTAGATCTTATTTTACATGTTTTTTTACCAACCATGTTTTAGATGCAGCAATTTTTTTCCTTCTCATAATATCAAAGTAGTTTCACTGTCTGCTTGTTTCTTTTTTTGATCATCTGAAAAACAATACAATTTTAAAATAAGTCGAAAATATTATTATTATTTTTTTTTATAGCATTATAAACCATTTAGGCCTTTGCTGCCAATATAACATTCTTACACTCCTGTCTATTATATGCACGTATTAGATCTCCATGCCAATCTGGCCTTAACTCCTGAATATCTCTTTTGACTATATCCAACCAATGCTGCTTTGGTCTTCCGCGAGGTCTTTTTCTGTTCAAATTGTATACAAGTACCGCATTGACAATACTGTTATCTGCTCTCCAAACGTGACCTGTCAACTCCAGTCTTGTGCCTTTTACAAATTGTACTATATTTCCTTTTCCATACAATTGTTGTACCTGTTTCTTTTGACCTTCTCTCCCACACTTGGGTATCAGGGTTAAACAGGACCATAGATTTTCTTAACACCTTTCTTTCAAAGGTATTAAGTTTATTCTCATCTCCTGCTGTTGTAGCCCAATACAGCATGTATAAGTCACAACTGGTCTAAGGTATGTAGTATATAGCTTCTCTTTATTTTTCCTAGTTAATAATTTTGATCTAAACAGATGGGACATAGCGAAAAAGCATCCATTAACAGCTTTTAGACGGAAATATTATTGAAATATTTTGATTGAAAATATTATCAAGTATGGAAAATAATAAAAAAAAAAAGCGGGAAGTGGATATACTATAAGTCTATAAATACAGAGAGAGTAATGTTGTTAGGCGCAAAACTGTTTTTGGCTATGTTGTACATTTTAAAGGCGGGGACAACAGATGCGGGTACCACATCCTCTTAAAAGATTTAACAGGTACACTTCTTAAGTTGTTGGGTCATTTTCTTTGAGCGTTTTTAAAAATTATTTTCAAAATATACCTAATAAAAATGTATTTTTGAATTTCAAATAAACAAAAGTATTTTATATACTTGTAAAGTAAGTATTTGAGTATTATTGGGGCATGCTCAAGGGAAGAGCGGTTCATGCTGCTCAGGGCCGTCCCTATGGCAGGGCGAGCGGGGCCCTCGCCATGGGCCCCGCACCTTCACCAGTTGGACAGGCCCCGCTTTTGTAGATACCATAAAAAAGCCAAGTTAATGAGAAAAAAAAATTATTATTTATATATTTTTTAATTTTTATATCCTTAATTGCTGTAATTTTTACTACCTATACCTACGGGCTTACCTACTTATATTAATTGACATCAGTCGTCAAATAAATGTATTGCATTTAAAACGAGTTAATATGATTAAAATTCAATTTTCAAAGTTGAAAATAATGAAAATCTTCAAAGCGCTCTGCCCTCCCCCCCCCCCCAAAAAAAAAAAAACAACAACTTGGCTATAATATTTATAGAAAAAAAATGCTTAGATTCTGAGCGGAGCGAAAAAATGTATTTATTTTACAATAAAGTGTGTTTTTTTTCTGTTTTGTATGGCCCTTTTTGGGTAGTAAAAGTTCTCCGATTTCCTAGATCAGCATCTTTACTGATTGAAAAGTGAAACTATAGTTGGTATTTTTGGGGAGTCAAAATTAAAAATTTCTAGTAGTTTTAGAAAGCGTTGAGAAAAACAAAAAAATAGGTGACTTTTATACAAAATCAATTTTTGAAAAATCGATTTTATTTTTTTGGTGTATCTCAAAAATTCATAACTGTAGAACCTTGAAATTTTCAACAAATATTTATATTAGAATTCTCCATAAAACATTTTCTCAATATTTTGACTATTTTTGAGCTTTTTATAGGCTTGAGCCCTTGAGAAATTTTTCCATTTTTCTAAATTTTTTTTAAATTATCCTCGATAAAATCTTTTTCATTTAGTAAAAAAATCTTGAAAATGTAATGATAGGTTCCTTATAATTTTTATTAATGGAAGTTTTAAAAATA